CAGGAGATGTTAAAGAATAAAATAATAACGCCCATAAATAGTGAATACGCGAGTCCAGTCGTACTATGTAGGAAAAAGAACGAGTTAAAAGAACCTTCCCTCCTTCGGATAAAAGGGCTTGGAGGTTTGCTATCGATTATAGAAAACTAAATAGCATTAACTAAATTTCCAGTTTACCCTTTGCCGTTATAGACTAGATCATTAGACAGATCAAATCGACGAGATATATGTCTGCTTTGGACTTAACGTCTGGCTACTATCAAATAGCTATGAGACCCGAAGATATACATAAAACCGCGTTTATAACAAAATCGGGCACTTATGCATTTTTACGCATGCCTTTTGGGTTTTGTGGGGCCCCATCAACATTCCAGAGAGCTATGGACATTGTTCTAAAGCCTGTCCTAGGAAAGTCAACTTTAATTTATCTAGATGATATAATTATAACGAGTAGTACGTTGGAACAACACATTAATGACCTCGAACAAGTTTTTAAATTATTAAAAGAGGCCGGTCTTACAATTAACGCCTCAAAATGCAAGTTCGCAACTAAAGAACTTAAATATCTCGGTTATAAAATTTCGCAAAAGGGTATAGAAACGCAAGATTCAAAAATAAAAGCTATTAAGAATTTCCCACCGCCCAACACCGCCAAGAAACTTTCGTCTTTCCTTGGACTATGTTCTTACTATCGATCTTTCATAAAAGATTTCGCTAATATTGTTGAACCACTCTTAGTAATCAAAAGAAAAAAGAGTAAATTTACGTGGACAGCGGAAGCGAACACAGCTTTTGAAAGATTAAAAGAAGCGCTTATTAATGCCCCTGTTTTAAAATTCCCTGAGGGGGGACGAAAACCTGGAAATTGCGGCAGATGCATCAGACTATGCGGTGGGTGCGGTTCTTATGCAAAATAACCATCCGCTGGCATTTTTTAGTAAAACATTGAATCAAACACAAAGGAATTATACAGCTACAGAAAGAGAAACATTAGCCGTATTAATGGCTGTACACAAATTTCGAGTTTATTTCGGCAAATCGCCAGTAACAGTCTTTTCGGATCATGCGGCTGTTGGTAGACTTTACTCGGGAAAAAACCTAACGCCCAGGTTAATAAGATGGGCTTTAAAACTCCAAGAATATAATATCACAATAAAATATAAACCGGGTAAGGAAAACAATGTAGCTGACGCACTTTCTCGTATAAAACTGGACGATGAAGGTAATGAACTTAAATGCGCTGTGTTGACTTCAAAAATTTTAGATTCTAGAGATACGGTTATTACTGAACTGAAAGCTGATCCTGAATTTGGAAATATCTATGCTTATTTGAAAGACCCCGAAAGCTTTGAGCACACAGATATCGATGCGATAAGAAATAGAGCAAAAAACTATGAAATAATAGATAATTTATTATTCTATACGAAAACAACAAACGAAAATCTTGAGTATAAGCCAGTCATCCCAGCCTCGCTTCGATTAAGCATTTTGAAGGAGTTGCACGAAAAAAAAACAGCGGGCCACCTCGGGGTCAGAAAGACTTTAAAAAGGGTACGCGAGGCGGTATATTTCCCGCAATTATACAAAATAGTAACGGCGTATGTCAGGTCCTGCAATCAATGTCAGTTAATAAATGATATTAATTACAGCCCGGCCGGGTACTTAAATAGCATTCGCGCTACATTTCCGAATGAAATTTTAGGCATAGATCTCCTTGGTCCCTTCCCCCAGAGCGAGTTAAATAAAAATCGTTTTCTTTTAGTAATAGTAGATCATTTTTCAAAATGGATAGAAATTGTTCCACTTAAACGCGCGTCAGCCAAAACAGTCGCAGATGCATTCTTACACAGATACATTTTAAAATACGGTGCACCGATAAAAGTCATTAGCGATAACGGAAAACAATTCATTAGTCAAATATTTGAAAACATATGCAATGGACTTGATATACGCCATATCAAAATGGTTCCGTATAGACCACAGGCTAACATAGCAGAAAGAGTTAATAAAAACATTGTAAAAATAATTCGCAGTTACGTTAGCACACATCACAAGCGCTGGGATGGCTACATAAATGAATTAGCTTATGCTTTAAGAACGGCACATCATGATACTACGGGAAAAACTCCAGCAGAATTATTTTTAGGCAGAAAGTTAATTACGCCTTTAGATAAATTATTCTTTGTGCAACAAAGAGAGCAGGAATTTAAACAAAAGGACGTGCAAAAGCTAATTGATCAGGCGCTTAAAACCTCGGATACGGCAAGAAATAGGCAGAAAATTTATTATGATAGAAAACGCCGTGAAGCAGATTTTAAAGTTGGGGATAAAGTATTGAAACGGAAATTTTCTTTATCAAGTGCCCCAGACAATTTTATGGCAAAGCTAGCTCCAAAGTTTGAAGGCCCCTATGTAATTCAGGAAATCAAAGGAGTAGTCTTATATCTTAAAAACGAGAGAGGGGAAATCTGTAAAGCAAGTCCCGACCAGGTGAAAAAATACTATAATCCAAATGATTTTGAAATCCTTAAAAGTTTCTTGCAGGACTCAAGTCTAAACGAAATAGAAGGGCCAGAGACTGCAACAACTATTCCACCACCCAAGAAACGGAGAACTGAAGAGAGACCTAGCACTTCTACAACCCGGACGTCGGTATCAAAAAGAAAAAATGAGTTTCAAACTCCGGCGTTTAAGAAAAACAAAAATACAGATGAACCGGGTAAAGAAACCGTGGTAAAGACGAAAACACCACCTACAAAAGATGGCAGGAGAAATTACACATCAAGGAGAACGCGCACACGGCCACAGAGTCAGGTGCCAGCAAGGCCGCCGTTCCGGAAACTGAAACGCCAACAGGAGGCACAAAAATACGACGAACAGAAGAAATTCAAGAAGGACTCCAGACCGGAGGACGTCAAGACACCAGCCGTCCCAGGCAGAAACGCAAAGGCCAACAACCAGACGATTACTCCGTCAAGAGGCCAGCATGTAGAGGACGCAAAAGAAAGAACGCAACGGGGACGACACTCGGAGATCAATAAGGAGAAGATTGACATCCATGACACCTCTAACTTGGGATCAATTTTGTCCAAAAACGGATGACGGAGTTTCAAGCATCGAAAACTCAAAGATAAGTTAAAACCTTCTATAAATTTTTTTTCTCTTTTGTTCCGAAATGTTATGCATAAGTACGAAGTTCTATGTTTTGACGAAAGTCAATATGTCTCGGTTGAGACTTAGTTTTTGTTTTACTTTATTTAGCTAAGGCAAAAGTATTATTTTCTTTAAGTGTAAAAAGCTAAAACAAGCATTTTCTGTTGGTCGAAAGACTAATTCTGTTATGTTAAAGCCAAAATTTGGCCAGAGATAAAAATAACTTCGTATTCTTGTACTAAAAAGAATTTTAGTTTCAGTATCGCCAGCTTGGCGAAGAATGAGTAAAGTAAAAATTTATTTTCTCTTATTCATTTTATGGTAAATTGTAAAAAGCATATGTATTAAACTTTTGTAAATGTATGTAAATACTTGCATGTTATGTAAAAGTAGAATTTAGTCTAGAAGCATAAAATTGTAGATGCTAAAAGTGAATGCTTAAAAGCAATGAAGTCAAAATTTAAGTATTAAACTGTAAAGTCATGCTTTAGAGCGAAAGCCTGCATGTTTAAAGATGAATGAGGGGGAAGTTAGAATGAATGTGTTTTGTAGGGTTCTCCACCTACATTTGAATTTTTAAGAATATTAAAGTAGCTCATTGAGTTGTAGAATGTCGAGTAAGGTGTGTCTATTTGGTTGTTGAATTCTAACAAATCATGGTGGTTAGGGGAAGTGTTGTAAGACTAAAACACGAATATTCCCGTTTGACACCACACATGGTGGAGAGCCAGGGTAAAGTTAAATTAATGCTTGAAAAATTGAATGAATGTGAAGTAAGCAATAACTAAGAAAAACGAAACGTTAAAAACAAAAATTTATTGTGTCAAGAAAGTGTAAATTATAATGTATGTAGAAAGATACTGATACTTATTCCTTCCAGATGCTGGAAGGAAAGACCAAGATTGATTGATGAAGTCCAGGAAAAGTTGCTGTAAGAAGAAAGCTTTGTAACGACTAACAGAATTTTAATATATAATTGTTACATAAGATTTTTTTGTGTAAACGAGGCTTTCGCCAGTTAGTTCAGAATTAGATAAACTTACAACAGGTCGTTTGTAGGACCTGCTTCCAAGTTTTCCAAATTCTGGCAGCGGCAAATGTAGGGTTTATATTTATTTTAACTAACATTTATTTTAAGTTTAAACTATCTTTCCTGTCAAGCCTTACTTTCCCCTGGAACTGCCAATGCCAGAATATGTAAATTTGAGTAGAACGCGCAAGGATTCAAATTATCAGCGGAAGTAGTATGATTTAAATAGAAGGAAACGAGTTCGGTGAGAGAGTTATTCTTACTTAGCGAGCGCGGAGGTAGAAATCGAGAATTGAAGAACCCCGCGTTGCGGCCTATGCGCTTGGCGGGAAGTAGCTGCAATTGTTCCAGTGAGCTTCAAGTCTGCTGAATTAGCTGCGGCTTTTGTAAAACGCGGTGAGTTAGTTATTTTAGAGAGCCTCGTAGTTAGAATATTGTCTTTACTTTCTTTTCAGGTTCTTATTTTTATTTTGACTGCCGAGTTGGCACCGTTTGTAAGCGTTAAGAGAACGCAATTGTAATTCATTACGTTGAATAAAAAGGGACTTAAACCCTTTACAAGACTCTGTGGTTTATACAAGCTTTCACAGTCACCCTTGGTTGCGTGCAAGTTGTAGGCGCGCAACGTTATATTATAAAGGAACAAAGAAAACCAAAAATCCCGAATATATATACACATATCATAAATAAACGTTATATACGTATATATAGCCTGTATAACCTACAAGGGTCGTCAGTTTTGGCGAGATATATAGGTAGTCGTCATAGAAGTAAGTACCAATTTTTATTTTTAATTCTCATCTGAATTTTTTTTTAGATTAGCGAGACTCCCTGCTGGGTTAGCAGCTCCTCTGCCGCAAAATTTGCCGTTGACAGACTCAACAGAATCAGAGTTACCTAAATCAGTGGCCTTACCTCCTGGTGTCTACAGTTTAGGAACTAGGGCTATGTATGATTGCGAATCACGCTACTATAAACTCATAGGATCTAGAACAAGACGATGCCAGAGCCAAGGAGAATGGAGCGGAAGACCACCTACTTGCATACCAGGTTCTTTTCGCAAAACCCTCACATAACAACTTTTAAAATTTATTGTTACGGATTTTGTATTTAGTTGGCTATTTTTAGTAGAGTTGTAATTAAAATTGATTTATTCCCCGTCAATGCAGCGCGTGACGAATTTTAAGAGAAAGCTATGCCGGAAAAGTAAAAATACAACATGTGCATTTAACATTTAATAAAAGTTTATCTCCGTAATTGATATTTATTTTGAATAAATGTAATTGACCACAGTGTTAACTGTAACCGAAATTCTATGCTTTCTGCTTTCCAGAAATTGCTAGAACTCTCTCGTGCGGCCGATTTAAAAAGCTATAAAAGCCAGAGAGAGAACATCTCAGCTCAGTTGTTGTTTAGATAACTGTTGTTTGTTGATGGTAGCGAATTCCCGGTGAGATCGGATTAGCTTTCTCTGCGCTTTGGATTGCATTCTGTTTAATGTTTTAGTAGTTTAAAATTTAGCTACTGATTATATTGCGTGATATTGTGCGAATATCTTTGAGGAAGAAAAAATCCAGCGGTTTTGTACATTTCTTGTGATGAAATAAATTTTATTAACTTTTTACTTGTGCATTCAATCTATTATGAACCCGTACGCACGTAACAATATTTAAAATTTTTATCTTTGGAATAAAAATGAATAAGGACTACAAGTCAAAATAATTTCAGCTAATACCTGAGTTCTTTTTATCTACTTCTAATCTACACATGTAGCGAAGCGGTATCTTGACTTTAAATTAATAAACCTAAGAATACATCACTGCAAGTGGACTGTAAAATTCACCTTTATTCGGCAGTTTGAGCTTTCGAACACAACACACAGCACAAAGTAAAAACGATAGAGTTACAATTAGCGGTTTTAAGAATGCAAGAACAAACTGCGAGCTGCGCATACAATCTGCGCATTGCGAAATAATATCTAACAGACAAGCAGAGAGCTCTGGTCGCCGAAACAACACCTATAGGTAAAGTAGGTAATGTTTTCGGTCCAAAATTTGGTAGTGAGCTTTTAGTAAATAAGCACGAATCAGAGTCCTTACAACACGTTTTTACTATTTACTTTTATAACGATGTCTATTTGTTTACGTGTAGGTGTGTCACGACTGTTTCGTCCATGATAACACTTATATCAAACTTTCAAAAACTTCTCTTTTCCGCATTTTAGCTGTTTGGATTCATAAGAAGATTTGATTAGTTTTGGGGTAAAATTGGATAACCGGAAGTAGTACTTTACTTGAAGTAATTACTATTACTGTTTTTAAAGGAAAATCGGGAGCGGTACTTTCTTGAAGCCCATAAGTTTTACAACAATCAACATAACATACTGTTGCATATATAAACCATAACATATTGTTGTAACTGAAAGAGCAATATTTACTAATACCTAAATATCGCGGGAATTGAATGCACAGATAAAAATGAATTTGGAGTTATCGATGATATAGAAATAACATAGAAGAAAATTAAATTATGGTATTCGTTTTTAAGTATTTCTTCTAAATAGATTACAAACATTGAATTTTCTTTAATTAAAACATTAACATCGCGCGCATCTTCAAGCACGGATATTTTATGCGGCAGGTTTCTTTACATTTTTACTGATATTATGTTGGTATCGTAGCTACGAAAACACGTTACGTCTAATAGTATTTTGCGCCGAATGACTTTGAATGTCAGTATACCTTTTCAAATCCCGTTTTGAATTCTCCCCGTGAAAAAATTGGGCGTAATATAAAATCTGAAAGCTTTCAGATCTTTTTAGCCCGAAGAGCTATAAGGGCTATTAATTTCGTTTTGGCATTTTGCGTTGAAAACTTTAAATGTGGGTTCACTTTTCAAATTGTTGCCACCAAATATTAGGGCCCTGTGTTATATTTAAAGAAAATAAATAATGAAGAATCTGCATAAAGGTATACATGTTTCTCGCATTGTGATAAAATAAGAGTACCCAGAGCCATCAAATTTTGAATAACGTAATCTTCCACCGAATATGGGCATCTGGAAGCCCTAATTTGGAATTTGAAACTTGTTTTATTAACGATTTTATATTTTGTAACACTTCAGCGAATTTTTGATTAACAAACTCAACGATTTTAAAGTGAGCAATGGCAAAACTGTAACCTCCCCCCCCCAAAAAAAAAAATAAATTTTATGGTCAAGTGCAAAGAACATTTAATAAATAAAGGGAACACACAAAAAGTTAAAAAAAATCCCTTTGGGCGTAATGTAAAAACTGAAAGCTTTTAGATTTTTTTCCCTCCTCCCCCCCCTTTTTTTTTATAAAAGTCTGTCACTGTTACATTTTTAACATGCAATATTTTATCCTTTTACAGTCTGTGGAAAATCGGATTCTCCTCGCTCTCCTTTCATTGTCAATGGAAATGCAACAGATATTGGACAATGGCCGTGGCAAGCTGGTATTGCCCGCTATTTGCAAGACTACAATCGTTGGTTTCTTCTATGCGGTGCTTCATTACTTAATGAGAACTGGCTGATTTCTGCTGCTCATTGTGTTACGTATGCAGGCACGACCCTTATTATAGAACCGGGCAAATTTCAAGTCTATTTAGGCAAGTATCATCGCGAAGATGACAAGGATGACGAATATGTTCAAGTCAGAAAGGTATGGCAATAACAGTTTCCGAGAAAACACTCAAATAGTAACTATTAATGCAATAGACTTATTATACGTCTTTAGTCGAGTCTGAAACTGCCATTCTGAGGATTTCAATTACTATTTACTGAACATTATACTTAAACAATGCCCTAAATATCAGATAAAGTTGCCTTATTTTCTGTGTAGCAGACAGAAGCAAAATTGAAAAATTCTTGTTCGAATGAATTTAGGATGATCCAAAAGTCATTAAATATTTAAAAAAAAAAAAAAAAAAAAAAAAAAAAAAAAAATTACCGTCTATGAATTTATCAATGCATGACAAGGGAACTAGCACAGAAATATTAAAAAATTAAAATATAAAAATTATGAGAAGTCTGTACAAAATTTTGGTAAAAGCTCAGAATAAGCTACATATATATTGAGAAGGCGGAGCTAAATGATGTCAATAATAGATGAGCATGGACCTTATAAGAAATAGACTAACCCAAACGGGTTTTCTCTCTCGTCTGAGGCGTTGCCGGCTGTCACCTTGATCACATCCGGAGGAGTAGGGACGACTTGCAGAAATTTAACATTGATTGCCTATTGCAGCGTGTATAATTGTCAAGAAAAAGCTGGTTCTAGCTCCTCATTTCACAAATTAGAATTTCTACATATTTTTATTTTTGAAATTGAGATTGATTTTTAACAATTTAGCATATTTATCAAGCATAATTAACTTTCCAAATAATTATAATGCTATTGCATGCTTTCAGGACTGGATATTTTTTTAGCTTTTCCTATGCTGTAAGGAAATTTGTAACTACTTCTTTCAGAAAATAATATTTTAAAACTGAACTAATAGAAAATTTCAAACAAGCAATTTTCTCTTGTAATTTTTATGCTTTTTATTGGTGTAAATAAGTAAAAAATATTAAATATTTAAAAACGAATTTTTGAAAGTTTTTTTTAAAATTCTAAATTGTGCTGCTTTTTTTAAATTATAGATGAGTATTATAGCACAATTTCTATAAAGGAATTTTATTTCAATTAGATTTCATAATACATCATAGTGATAAACACTTTTGACTCCTTAAAAATTTTATATACATTTAATTCTAATATTAAAATTGCATTTAACCTTAATAATTAATTTTGCTTGTATTTTCTAGTGATTATTTTTTTTAAATTTGTTTTTAGTTCTGAATAAGATTTTTTTTTTTTATTTACTGTTAATTCATAGTAGCCTAAAAGGGGCGGTAGCCTAGAAAGGCTGTTAGTTTCGAAGCGGCATTTTGCGCTGTTTCACTATAAATGTCCGTGTCTCCTTGCAAATTGTTGTTACCAAATATTATCGCCCTATAAGGAAATTAAATAATGAAGAATCTGCATGAATACATGTATGTTTCTCGCACTGTGACAAAAACGACAGCAAATTTTGAATAATGTAATCCTCCACCCGAACGTGGGCATCTGGACGGACGAATTTCGAATTTGTTTTAATCTATTTCATATTTTGTAAAACTTTAACGAATTTTTGATTAACAACCTCAACGAGTTTAGAGCGAGCACTGTGCGGAAATGGTTCAGAGCGAGCACTGTGCTATGGTTTTATCTCCAGTGCGGAAATTCTAAAGATATGCTGTTTTCAAATGTATGTGGTTTACGGGCGAAGAACATGATATTCAATAAATATAGATAGCACACAAATCTTTAAAAAAAAAGGTTCCTTTTGGGCGTAATATAAAAATCTGAGTGCTTCTAGATTTTTTTATCTTTTTTTCCCCCCTTCATTACGCTCAGAAAAATTTTATGAATTATTAAAATAACTAATCCACTTTAATGTTAATAATTTAATGATCATATAATCAAATAAATATAATCTTTTTGTAATGTTTACTATAGTTTGGAAAATCTCTGCCTGAAAATGTTCATTAAATTAAAAAAAAAAAAAAAAAAAATATCAGATCTTGTTTAATTTTACCTAATTTATTTCAAAGCATCGCGTACTATCAATCTTATTTAATTTTACTTTATTTTTACGCAAAATTAAGTTCATAAATTTTGTGCTTAGCGTTTTTAAAAACCGTTTTAACCCAAAGTAAAGAAGTTTTGTACAAGAATTAAGCGTGAAAAAATGCGCGAAATGCAGTAAAGAGTGCTTTAATGAGATATATTAAATCCTATTTGTAAAAAACTGTGGCTTTCATAATCTCATCACTATACAACGTATCGCATTTAATAATTAAAAAGAGTTATGTGATACAAACGCCATAGGTTTCAGTGTTAAAGTAAACCAGATCGTCCCAACTCTTTCTTGCCAACATGTCGGTGATGCGAGCCCCGCCCACTGGGTTAGTCTATCTTTTATAAGGTCCATGAAGATGAGACAAAGCTTGTGACGTCACAATATATTCTTGCATTCTCACTAAGCGTATTTACTATTTTCTACGGAAAATAAGAATAATTTGTTGTTCATTATTGTGAATCAATATTAAATTCTTTATTTTTAATTTACATTTCTAACAATTAAGCTGTATTTTACTGAAAATAAATATAATAAACTATTATTTTAAATTAACATGATAGAATAATTTAGTGCTATCATTTAATGAAATCGTAAACAAGAAGTCTCGCATCAACTTTACTATTTTCAAAGGTTTTTAAGTTTTGGAATTAATGTAAATAAGAAAATTTTTTAATTTACATCGTAGAACCCTTTAATTCTATTATTTTCACAAATAAGTTTATTACTACACAAAATTCTTTATATACTATTAAGGTATCCGACCTCGTTCGGGTACCATTTTTTTTAAAATGGTTTTTAATTTAACTATAAACATATTAATTTGAAGATAAGCATATTAATGAGTGAAAACAATTTAAAACTTAATGCTAAGTAATTTTAATTTTGAAAAATAATGAGAAAAGGGATAATTTTGCTTAAATTTTGCCTTTACGGCAACAACCACGGCGAACAATGTATATATAAATATGCAGTTTTTTTTTAATTTTTATTTATATTTACACTTGTTTTGTATGCAATGAAGGAAGCAAAAATAATTAAGAAATATTCATATATTCTTGAGATATGTGGAAATGTATAGTATTTACTGTATATTTTCCTATTATTGCATCCAAAATCTAAAAATAAAAAGTAACAATTCAACTTCTAATTAATATTTCTAAAATCTTTCGCTTCAGAGCATGCATCAGATTATATGAAACATGTATAGAAAGTATCATTAAATTTTATCCATAAAATTTTGAGTTATGGCTGTTACCATTGGCAATATTTACAGAAAAAACATTTTTCAGAAAACAAGTTTAAAGTTTTCATAAAACAATTTCTTAGTGAAAGAAGCATCCATGATAATTAAAATTCCCCTGCTTTGTAACTTAACACCTTGTTTTTCTTCCCACACTTTGTACCTTTTCTTTCGAACAAAGCGGAATTTTTTCTTTGGGTTTTCGTAAAACTTGTGGAATGCCACCAAGAGTCATGATTTTGCACTTTATGAAATTTTCGAATTCCCTGCTCAGTGTAAAATTCAGGGCACATACCTAACTTTGAAAATGCTTCAAGCAAACCTATAAATCCATCATTAAATAACATTAAATAACCCAACACTTAATTTGCTCCAAACATTAATATTCGCAAGTTTATGAATGTTTCTTTCGGAACAATTTGCAATAAAATGCCATTAAAACGTTCCTTGATATTTTGATACTGATACTTATATATAACTCTTGTTTACGTAGTCAACTCCATATATGTAGGTTTAATTAAATTCAAAATATCTATTCATATACCAGAGGTTTTTGCCTAATGTTTTTCTTTTTTCCCTGATTTCTGCAATCACACGTTCATAGTTGCAGCATCAATTCATTGATTACTGAGGAGAGCATTGGGGTTGATCTTTACATTATGGTAACTTGGCGTTTTTTGGCGAAAATTTGGCGACCAACTCTCCTACAGCAACCCTCTATTTTTTTTCCCCGCCGCCGTTTTGTCTTCACGAAGTAAAGACATGTTTCTTTTCTTTTTATCTACTGAACACTTCTTCCAACAATCTACTAGCCGAATTACACTTATGCTAAAAATTTTATCTAACAAAACTGCTTAATCATGACAAATATTCACTGCAAAATTGGGAAAAAGTGCACAATACCATACTCCTTACGCGTTTTTCAAAATAACACATACACATAAACAATGTACACGCCGACTGATTTTTACTTAAAAAAACATCCCAGAATTACACAAAAATGGCATTGCGCACACTCTTCACTATATCCATGTACACTGCTTTTTTCTCATAAATTAGAAAAATTTCACGAAAATGACAATTTTCTGAATCTTTAAACACGGTAAAAAGAACATATATGAAATTACCTGATCGCGAAAAAGTATATACCCTTTCCAAATATGAACATTTCCACACATAAAATAAATAAAATATCCAAAAACTTTTACCTCTAAATCATCTATTATATTATACACGTCACCAACGAATTCATACCGCAAGCATTACAAATACTTAGTGTCAAATATTTAAATTATTTCCATGCGCGTTTACTTCAACTTAAACTTATACCAAATTCCTACAAACATAAAATTCACAAAATAACTATCATTTAATTAAAATATCACTAAACCATGTACACGTCGACTTATTTTTACTTAAAAAAACATCCCAGAATTGCACAAAAATGGCATTGCGCACACTCTTCACTATATCCATGTAGACTGCTTTTTTCTCATAAATTAGAAAAATTTCACGAAAATGCATAACAATTTTCTGAATCTTTAAACCCGGTAAAAAGAACATATATGAAATTACCTGATCGCAAAAAAGTATATACCCTTTCCAAATATGAACATTTCCCCGTATAAAATAAATAAAATATCCAAAAACTTTTACCTCTACATTATCTATTATATTACAAACGTCACTAACTAATTCATACTACAAACATTACAAATGGTTACAAATACTTAGTGTCAAATATTTAAATTATTTCCATGCACGTTTACGCAAATTACTTTACTTCCACCTTACATTTAGAACAATGCATAAAAATAATATCCTCAAATAATTAAAAATACTAACTTACCTATTCTTCTTCAGAATCATGATTATGTGTCCGATAAACTTTTCTTATTTCTGTTTCAGGATCTTTAAAATCATACTTATAGTTCACACCAAGGTACCAGGTAAAATAAATAACTTAATACAACATCTTTACTTCTATCTCGCACAACCTTAAAGAAACACTTATTACTACGCCTTTCAATCCCACTAAATACCCATTTCGAATTCACTTTAGTTAGGGCCATGGGATCCAAAAATTAACGAACACTGTTTCACACAACACAGAATAAAGCCAAATACAAAATTTCCAGATTTTTTCTCGATTTCCCCCCCTTTTCCGATTAAAGAACCGTAATTCGTCCATTAATATCACATGACATATCCCATGATCCCTCATTTCCCTCACACAAAATAATGCGTAATCGGAACTGAGTACTGCTCACATTATTACCAAAGTCCCAGGTAGTAACCTTTATCGCCTCCAAAATGTCGCCAAACTACCAGTTACCATATTCTAAAGATCAGCCTAATGTTTTTGTGAGAGTTCGTTGTGTTAAAACACACACTCAATAAAACTCAATAAACACACACAACACTCAATAAAGTAGATTTATAATAAAAATATCTCGCGCAGTAACATTATAAACCGAATATTTCACTTCAGTTTATATAAAATTTAAATTTTCTTCGAATATGAAGCTATAGCATAACCAGTGTTGCCAGATCGTGCGATTTTTCGCAAATTTGCGACTTCTAACAAACTTGTATTACTAAAATTTTAGTATTTGTGATTTTGCGAAATCCACTTTCGTTATGCTACTTTTATTGTCTAAATGTCTAAGTTATAATTCCATCCAATTAATAGTGTTATATCTTCGTGTTTTGAATACATACAAATCTCTACTTCCGAAATATCACTATCACAAGTTGGCATTACTGTTCATGAAAGCCCCTTGTGGACAAAAATTTTCTGATTGGTAGCACACTATGTTTTGATTGGTTTTAAGTTATCCATGTAGTTCAGCAGCTTACTCACATGTGTCAGGGTCTACGTTGGTATTGGGTGGATAAAAAGTCGCCAGGTAGTTTAATGTTTGTTCCATATACTATTTGGGCAATCAAGTGATTTGTGTCACATCGCAGAGCAAATCTGAGACCCAACAGAACTGTTGGTAGCATTCCAGTCCACTCAGCATTATTACATGCTTTTATAGCAGCCTTAAATGTTCAATGAGGCCTCTAAATTGCATTGGTGCTAGTATACTGTAGTGTTAAGGACTTTAGCTCACACATTACAATCAAACTCCTAAACATCAGCGATTCAAATTGTGTTCTTTGATCCATAATAACTTTACGTGCAATGCCAAATCTGCATATCCAATGCTCATAAAAGCCTTGCTTACCACTACTGCAGTGCTGTATGGTAATGGGATGACTTTCACCCAGTAAATCAGTTGAAACAATACACGTGCCCATTTGAAAGGGGTAATGTACCAATGAGGTCAATATGTACCGCACTGAAACAGGTATCTGGTTCACGATATTCCGCAAATTTAAATTTGACGTGCCTAATAATTTTACATTCTTGGCATATGATACATGCTTTGGCACAATCTTGATTTTTCATTCCAGGCCACACAAAACCAGCATTTGTGTAACGCCAGGGTGTGAAAAACCATGATTTTGATCAAAAAGTTTTTTCCAGAAACTAGGTGGAATATAAGGCCGATCTTTTTTTGTGAAGTACTATACCATAAAAATTCTTGACGAAGGATGTATTGATTGGCTGAATTTAAGTGTTGTGTCACTTTCCATTATAACTTTCAATTCTGGATCTGCACTTTGTTCTACGGCAAATTGTTCTTAATCAATAACACAGATCTGGGATAGTGTTTGCAACCACACTGTCTTGCCCACCAATATGCTGAATATCTGCGGTGAACTCAGAAACTTACTGCAGTTGGCACTACTGTTTTGGGGATGCCTTCTCATTTTTTTCTGTTCAAAGGCAAAGTTCAATGGTTTGAGATCTGTTACAATAACAAATTTCTTCAAGGATTTATGGTTTATTATGATTAATTAATACAGAGGAGATTCAAGAATTAATAATATCTTTTAAAGTTATAAAAAAAACTGCACAATAAAAAAAAAAGAGCTTTTCTAGGGGTTTATTTCATATAATTAAAAGGACATTAAAAGTTCCTGAATGTGCAGTCCTTACATATATTTCTTTTAATATATACATTGCCCCCGTTCATCAGTAATGTAAGAGTACATTATTTGCATCTAGCATATTCTTAAAAACTTTGAGAATGTTGCCATTTGTATTTCACACATTCATTTTTATAGGAATATTTTTATATGCATTCATTTTCAGGTGCAAGAAATACACTTCCATCCAGATTATGATCCTGGTCTATTTGATGCTGATATAGCTTTAATACAAATGGATTCCCCTGTACAGCTTAACAGTAGAGTGCAACCAATCTGCTTACCAACAAAACAGACTACTCGAAGCAATCTGGCAGAAGGACAAAAGGGAATTGTAAGCTTCTTCATTTCTTGTCTTTTAAACAAATATAATTTTATTATAAATATATATTTATAATGAAGATATTATATTTATTACAAATATGATATTTATATTTTTTTGCAAGAAAAATTAAGAATACATCTTCAAGTAAAATACTAGCAGGTTCAGTTTTTCAGCTCGTATTCACAGAGATAATAGTTTAAAATCTGCAGTGTAGAATGAATATAATTCAAATTCGTAATGCATTAAATGAATTCAAATACTTTTGAGGAAGTAAGATAGTTTGTAATATCAAAATAGATAATGATTAATAGGAACTAATTTAAAGGAACTGTATGAATATGCTTTGAAGTTCTAATTATTACTACAGTCAAAAGTCGTTAATCTGGGCTCGTCGGGACTTCGGCAATTCCGAATTATCGATTTTTCCGGATTATAGATCATCAGTTTAAATCGCGTAAGATGGCATGCAGAAATTCTAAAATTAAAAATATGAAACCGTAATTTATGAAATAAAGAACAATTATGATCTAAAGGGTATCAAAATTAAAAAAAAAAAAAAAAAAGAGCTGAATATTTATTTGTTTAAGTTACTTCGTTTTATGTGATAATACTTTCTCTTTAATTCTATAAACAGACATAATTTTTTGTTCAGTTACAAAGTTCCGCTGTTCAAGTCCCGTTAATTGCTGTGCCGAGAATACCGACTAACTTGTCAATCGAAATTTTTTCGTTTTCACTAACCTCTCTGTCACATTCTTCATGTCTTTATCCATTTTTTGCAGCAGTTCCACTTTTTGTTTGATGGACATCGAAACATACTTTCGTTTTGTACGATACTTTGTGAGCTCCAGATTCGGAAATTCTATTTGACATAATCGAAAGTTCAAGTTTACTTTTATAAAATTGCTCTTACAGTCTGTAAAAAATAATAAGCCGGATCCAATTCGAAGATTAAGGAACAACGCGATCATCAACATTAACTGAAATAGACAATTAGATAATTTAATAATTTTAGATTATACCGTCCGTTATACATAAAACGGCCAAGCGAAAACGTATTCTGCGCTTGCGCACACGCAAATGCGCAGTCGTAAGAGGTCTTATGCGCACGCGTAAACGCCTGCGCGCATGTGTCAACGCTGCGCATGCGCAGAAAGTTTTTAGCTTCGAGGTCCGGATTATAGATCATTCCGGATTATGGGTGTCCGAATTAACGACTTTTGACTGTAGTAGTTTTATGTCTGATTATTAAAATTCCACAAAATACACGTATGTAAATTCCTAAGACATAATAAGGCTAAACATGTGAATTTATAGACATAATAAGATAATGAAGGTATTGTTAACAAGACAAAGATATTGTGACTGATATAGAAAACATGAACTCAGAAGTTATGATAGAGATATTTTAAAATGATTTTGATTAAGGCATATTTTAAAATCACCCCGGATCTAAATACAAACCTACACTCAATTGTGTTTCAGAAAAATTAACAGAAATAATATTACTATTGTCGAAAAATCAAATCATGTATCTGCAACTTATTAAAAGTCATTAATAATAAAAATGATTGTTTCTTAAACATTAATAAAATTAATCACAAACTACACTAGTGATCAACAGAATATTATCTTACAATGTTTTAATGATAAATGCAGTATTTGTAGAATGCATGCCATGTAAACAATTAAAAACTCATTCAATGTTCAGTATTCAAAGAAAGTCGAAAATTCATTTGCTATTCCACACGCCTCATTAAGTCAACAAGCCAGGAGGAAAGTTTTCAATATAGAGTAGTTATGTGGTGTCAAATATTTTGAGGTAACTGAAAATATAAGAAACAAAATATCGTAACAATTTAACTACTTGAATTTGAAAACTATGAGCAAAAACTTGCTGAATATTCCTTATTTTAGTAAACCTAATTTTATGTACTTTTTTTTTTGTTTTGTTTATATTTAACAATATGGTGAATCAGTATTTACTCTGAAGTATTGATTCAATTTAATTACTTGAATTTCAAAAATATGAACAAAAATTTGCTGAATAGTCCTTATTTTATTACACCTAATTTTATGTACTTTTTTGTTTATATTTAACAATATAGTGAATCAGTACTTACTTTGAAAGAATTTATGGTATTGCTTAATTATTCCCAGCCCAACAAAAAATTATTAAGCTACAAATGACTTTGAATTGGTGAAAAACATTTGTTTGGCTATCTTTATAAGAAACGGGCTACTACATGAAATTCTAAATACCTCATATTTACGTTTTTACAGCCAACTAATGTTGTTCAGGAGATAAGGGTTAAGTAGTACCTGAGGAAAAGGCTTTTAGAACTCTGAAAAACCAACAACTCAAATTTTTATTCTGTAAGCAGACACACTAGAAACCCACTCAAAGTACCTATGTCGCTTTCAGTGATTTCCTAAAAATTATTAAGGAAATTAATAGCATAGCTTCTAAGTGTTTCATATTTGATGCAATTAGAATAATACCAAGTTGAATGGATGAAATTTGTAATGCCCCGACCTCTACACACAAATTATTCAAATTCTTTAATATTTTCATATAAATTTTTGTTGGAAACCTCATCGTAATTGTAGAAACAATTAATATTTCAAATACTTTTGTAATGCCTTTTCTCCCATATTTCATACTTCTGTAAATATGTAACAGTTCAGTTATTTATTATTATTGCTCTGATGCTTTTTCTTTCAGTGTATCTATATTTTGGTGATGGTGCCTCATTGAAATTCATACTGCCATACATATTGTATTTTGCCTGAATTTTTCGCTCTTACCTGTTCAGTTAACAGCTTGATACTCTTCTATTTAGTGGATAGATATGTAGCGCTACAGATGTTATTAAATTTTTTTCATTCTTTGCAACATCATTCATATCATTGAAAAATTCATTAAGGATATATTCAAAAGTATCTAATTTCTCGATGGAGGTAGGTCCTAGTGATTCCGGTGTTGTACGACTCGTAGTAAAATCTGATAAGGGTTAAATATAAAGTGTGTAAATGCATGTACACTCGAATGCACGTGTGGTATGCGCATGCATAGTTTGACTGCTGTCGAGTGTATCCCGTACAATACGCCATTAACATGGCAGTTCTACATAATATTCAAACTGGTATCTCTCATAGAATTGGACAGTTTCTGTCGGAAGAATAGTGTATAAAATATCTATTCTCACCATTCAGAACTTATGCCTGTACACCAAGAAGAAAGCCAAGATACCACAGGTGCTATTAGAACATTATATACACAGTTCTTCATATTTTAAAGTATTTCTATTACTTTCATACAACTTTGAATTATTCTTATGCAAGGAAAAAACTGAAATATTCATGTGGCCTTTTTTTTTCAAGCTTTTATTGGTTATTAATGTGACATTAGACTGAACACTTATTATTGGCATAATATGAAACTGTCAGATTTCAGTTTCTTATTATTACTATTCTATTGAAAAGTTTTTCTTTTCAGGTTACAGGCTGGGGAATGAACGAGAATGAAACATATGCTGAAACCTTGCAACAAGCAGTCTTACCTGTAGTGTCAAGTGCTAAATGTGAGCAAGGCTACGAAGAATCGGATTTACCTTTAACAGTAACAGACAACATGTTTTGTGCAGGTTATGAACTTGGAAAGACAGATGCATGTGGTGGTGACAGTGGAGGACCTATGGTTTTTATCGATCAGTCTTCTAAAGAAAGAAAATGGGTTCTTGAAGGTATTGTTAGTTGGGGAAGCCCTGGAGGTTGTGGAAATCCTAAACAATATGGTGGCTTTACAACTGTTAGCAAATTCTTGGACTGGATTCATCTTTACTTCTAAGTCCTTAACAAAATCTACATCTTTTTGAAGTTAAAAATAAAATGAAAACAAAATTTGGCTCTTACTAACTCAGTTTTTTTAATGCTTTTACCCAAAGGCATAAATGTTTAGTTACTGTTTGTGTGTTTTACGTTGAATATATAACTTGCAGCAGTTTAATATGGTAAACAAGCGATGGTTATATCAGTGTCTTTTTCAAGCAGTGCTCAAGTCAGGGAATTAAAAAATAGTAAAAGTTTTTATAAAATAAGCTTCTATTTAAAATTTATAAAGTAAACTACAAGGAGAAAATTGTTATTAAATGTCCGAAGGTCTCCCACCCCTCTTTTCCTAAGAAAGAAGGAAATTGATCATGATATAATTTATTGGAAACAATAAACTGAATAATTCTCTTTACAAAATTCTTCTACAACTTTATATCATAAATAATAAATGTATGGTACAGCCTTGAGAAATTTATAAAGATAATGACTTATACTTTAGATAATGCAATTAAATTAATAGATTTCACTATTTAGGCACAAAGGAGAAGAATAAATGGCACATTACTAAAGACAATTTTCTCTGGAACTTGTAGCCAGCATTGGAATCGTGTGTGAAGAAAATTATGTACAGAGAGCTTAAGGAGAAAGAACTTTCTAAAGAAAGTTCTACTTTGCATACTCTAAATTCAGTTTAGAAGGAAAAATATCCGAATTTGTATAGAAAATACACAAGTTGTAGACAAAATCAATGGACTTGTGTAGCACTTAAGAACAGAGATTCAGTTTAAAAAGTGATTTGCAGCATGTTAACCTCTAGAAAGAGCCAGCAACAAGTTTTTCTTTTAAGATAAAAGAATGCTGAAACATTATGTAATATGGAAAGGAATTATACTAAATGAATAAATGCTAACTGCACTTACTCATAAATAACACAATGTGCACTAAGCAACACTGAACTAAAATGTTTACACAAGGCTCTCAGAAGTGCATTTAATTCTGACAGTTCTTTTTTTGGACTTATACTTCTTGGGCACCCAAAGCTAAAGTGAATAACTTGAAAGTAAAAAAACAGAGAACACATTTACCATCTGAGTTTTCCGATTAAAATTTGACAGGATATCTTGGAGACAAATGAAGAATAACTATTGAAAGATGCAAAGTTCTTCTGAAGAAACAGTGCTAAAAACATACTTTAGTAGAGAAATGGAATTCATTGCTACAAATTGTCTTTAAAAATTAATTTCTACTATGAAATCCATTCCAAAACCACTAATCATCAGTAAACAGTGATAATTTCTCTCTAATAAAACTAAAATATAAATCTGCTTCTATATCATTGATATAAATATTTTAATTAATTGTAATAAATTCCCTAATACTTGCACAAAAGCTGCAAAGTAATAAAATAATAATTTATTTACTAATGCATTACTTAGTATATTATCTCCTTTTATAAATGTAGTTAGAATTCTATTGAAATGAAGTAATTATAAGCATATTTAACCTATAAGCATCTTGAAAATTTTTTTAAAATGGAAACATCAAAAATGAATCAAGAATAAATTGAAAATGGAAACTTTTAAAAGGTATAACTAAAATTGAAAATGTAATCAATAAACCAAGTAATTATCATCATAATGTCATATATATGTTATAAACTTCTTTTTTACTAATTTTTAAACATGAATTATATATTTAAATTCATAATTCATGTTTTAAAAATTCAAATTATTTAAATTTGCCACCCAGACGGTATAGTGGTTGGGGTAGCCCGACTGCGATACAGAAGGGCCTGGGTTCGAATCCCGGAGAAGGCATGGTTGTAACTGTCCATCCCTTCATAGGAGGCAATGGTGGCCCACCTATCAGATGCCTCCATAATAAAGAGATCACCACATCTGGCCTTAGTATAGATTAATGGACTCTGTTACAAAATTGTTACTGTTCACAATTTGCCATTGGGGTATATAAATATATATATATAAATTCCATATACATTTATAAAGAACTTCAGATTATAAAATTAAATGAAGTTTTCAGGGTTTTCCCTCTTTTATCTTTTTTATACAAAGCTCATTTTAAATGCAAGCACCGTATGAGGGCTGTCTGAAACATTTCTAACCTACATATATAGATAGATGGCAGCACAAATCAACTGAAGTGGGAGGAACTTGTTTGGATGTCACTTGATAACTACCAATCAAAATTTTTAGTTTGACAATTAATTTTGTGGGTTGATGTGACCAAAAATAGAAAAAGTCGAGTATCGTGCTGTCATTAGATACTTGTTTTTGAAAGGTAATACACCTACTCAGATTAAAGAGGAGTTGGACAAATTGTACGGGGACTCTGCACCATCATTTACTACTGTGAAATTTTACCAGTTTGGGTGATCATTAACGTTCAGGACAGCAAACAACTGCAACCACTGATGAAAACATTGCTAAAATGCACGAAATTTTACTGGACAACCGTTGAATCAAGGTTAGAGAGATAGCAGAGGCTATATATGTCCAAAGAACCTGTTTGCCACATATTGAACCAAGATTTAGATATGTGCAAGCTCGCTGCATGTTTGCTCACTCTGGACCAAAAACGTGTCTGAATGAACATTTGTACTGTTCTGTGGTGCAACAAATCAGAATGTTTTCAACTATTAATCATCATTACAGCCCAGAAACAAAAACACAGTCTAAACAGTGGACTGGAAAGGGAGAATCGGCTCCAAGAAAGGAAAAAAACTGTTCCTTCTGCTGATAACAGTTTTCTGGGACAGCAATGAGTGTGTCTAAATAGATTATCTTAAAAAGGGAAAACCATTACCAGAGCATACTATGCAGTGTTATTTGACAAGCTGAAGGCAGAAATTGTGGGAAAAACACTACATTTACAAAAGAAAAAACTTTGTTCCACCAAGACAATGTTCTATTTCACACCTCAGCAGTTTCAACGGCAAAAATCCATGACTTTTTTTTGTTTTGTTCCCTAAGCTAAAAGAATCACTTAAAGGACAAAGATTTTCGTCAAATGAGGAGTTTATGAACTTTGTTAATAACTACTTTGTAGAGAAAGATTCCACATATTATTTGGGTGGGTTAAAAGAATGGGAGCATCGCTGGAAAAATTTATAGACTTACAAGGAGACTAAGTCGAAAAAAAAAAAAAAAAAAAAAAAAAGGTAACTTATATTATAAAAAATCTCTTTTTTGTTTGTTACGTTGGGAACTTTTCAGACAACCCTTGTATTTTATAAGAAAGGCTACCCGGTTCTTCAGTAATCATAACAGAATGTAAATATCGGTTATGTTTGTTTGATGTTTACCATACATTTCTTTTCATCAAAAACTGAATGGTTCTTGTCAAGAGACACTTTTTTTTAGCTTGTATATCTTCAATTAGAATACAATTTTATCTGCCTGCTTGTAACAAGACATGCAAGTGTTATCTGTTCTCAGCGAAGAGAAACTTTCATGGATGACTTTCTACGGAGAATCAGCTTGTATTCACATTACACATAGTAAAAACTATAACGAAGTCAGTAACTGGTGAATTACATATTAACCATTCAGCTCTATAAGCTAAACTGTCTCGTGATTTTTGTAGTGTATTTATTATTCGCATTTTCCATAAGTACACAGTTTTATTGAAAAGACGTCATATCTTAAATGCATTTAAAATAAAAAGCGACCTCAACTTATGCTTTTGGAATTTTAGGTGTTTAGTATGCACTGCCTAGATTTAAAAATAAAATAAATAAATAAATTAAAGGCAAATATGTACAGTCAAAAGTCGTTAATCTGGACTCGTTGGGACTTTGGCAATTCCGAATTATCGATTTTTCCGGATTATAGATCATCAGTTTAAATCGCGTAAGATGGCATGCAGAAATTCTAAAATTAAAAATATGAAACCATAATTTATGAAATAAAGAACAATTATGATCTAAAGGGTATCAAAATTTACAAAAAAAAAAAAAAAAAAAAAGCTTAATATTTATTTGTTTTACTTTATTAAACATTTCTTTCAATGTAAGTTGTTTAAGTTGCTTCGTTTTATGTGATAATACTTTCTCTTTAATTCTATAAACAGACATAATTTTTTGTTCAGTTACAAAGTTCCGCTGTTTCAAGTCCCGTTAATTGCTGTGCCGAGAATACCGACTAACTTGTCAATCGAAATTTTTTCGTTTTCACTAACCTCTCTGTCACATTCTTCATGTCTTTATCCATTTTTTGCAGCAGTTCCACTTTTTGTTTGATGGACATCGAAACATACTTTCGTTTTGTAGATACTTTGGGAGCTCCAGAATCGGAAATTCTATTTGACATAATCGAAAGTTCAAGTTTACTTTTATAAAATTGCTCTTACAGTCTGCAAAAAATAATAAGCCGGATCCAATTCGAAGATTAAGGAACAACGCGATCATCAACATTAACTGAAATAGATAATTAGATAATTTAATAATTTTAGATTATACCGTCCGTTATACATAAAACGGCCAAGCGAAAACGTATTCTGCGCTTGCGCATACGCAAATGCGCAGTCGTAAGAGGTCTTACGCACACGTGTAAACGCCTGCGCGCATGTGCAGAAAGTTTTTAGCTTCAAGGTCCGGATTATAGATCATTCCGGATTATGGGTGTCCGAATTAACGACTTTTGACTGTACTTAAAATTTTTCTAGCAAATAATTGTACAATTTAATTATTTGCATGTTAATATTTTAAAAGTTCTTTGTTCTAAACAAATTCTTTTTGATGTACATCTATCACAAATATAAATTAACTGGAGAACTAGTTTTCCCCCTCAGACTTGTATCAGGTTACTTATTTATAAAACTTTACCCTATATTATTTACTCATGTATGTTGCATACGACATGAAATGTAATATTATCATACATAATGTTTTATTACTATAAAGTGCTGCCATATGCTAATTCTACTGTTTTGATAGGTAACGTATCTCAATTCCATCCATCACATATGTTTCAACTTATCACTCAATGAGGACTTTAGGTCTTTCTTGCGCAACCACTTTTATGCAAAGGGTTTATAAATAACAAATTGTCATCTGGGAATCAGTTTTTTAGGTTTAGGAATGATTAATACAAATTGAGACTACAGGATGGACAAACTACAGCCTGCCACACATTTTTGTGCAGGCTGCAAGCAAATACTTATATTTAGTATAATAATTTAATTTTTTTGTCTTTTGATGCTTCTTTAACAAATTTGAATTTAGGATATATTTTGTATCTGTTAGTTTGTGAACAATTAACTTCTTGTTTTGTTGAAATCAAGATATAGCTTTGTAGGTCACAGATCATCCTTCACTAGCAAAATCAAAAAATTTATTTTTGAAAAACTGAAACAAATTCATGATTCCTTTTCATTAAAAACCGACAGGAACCTAAGTGAGCTACATACAATCATAGATCTGCAGTGTGATATTGATTTAAAGTCAAACTTAAGGATTTTGCTTGAGAAATATTGGTTATTTTTGGATGAACTTGTACGTCTTTAAACTTTTTCTATCATGAATCTCAATAAAAACATTTTACAGTTTAATATCAAGCCCTAGGCTAGGCTTGCCCTATATCAACAAGTTCATATAAAAATGCTGATCAGATCTCTGTGAAAAAATAATGTTTAGTCCATCTTGTATGGAAATGAATTTTATTCTTATTCACTGCAATACTGGTTGGGTGAGTTAAACATATATGGTCATCTGGATTGAAATGTGGCACTGATCTACAGTGTTGATACTGACACAGAACTTAAAAGCTAATATCGAATTTTGCAGCTGTTCTTTTTATATTAATAATTTTTAAAACTTAAAAAACTATTGTTAAATATCATTGCTACTATGATGAAAAATATTGCTACTGTGATTTTAAATAATACCTTGCTATATTTCACATTCCTAAATATTATTCCATAGTAGATAATATCAAGCCAGCACGAATTAAGACATCAGATTTCAGAATTAAGCTAAAGAGTGAGAATAATATATCTTATTATATAGTAGTTAATGAGATGTCCTTATAGTAGCAATTTATTCTTAATTCTGTGTAAACAATCATTTCAAATGCTATGGTATAGCCATCATATGTGAAACAAATTATTCATATAATTCCTCCTAAGAGCAAGAAATATATCTGAGAAAGGTAGAACGCAATATAAAAGCCATGAAGGATATTCAAAATGAAAATAGTTTTTTTTAGATAGCTAAGAATGTTGAAAATTTCCTCCTCTACTTGCAAAGATGAGTTAAATGGATCCCATGAACACTTCATGGCCCAGACATTCATCAAAATTCATCAGATCTTAAAATTACAGATACACTATAATTTACCAATTTTAGATTTTAAAATATCTAAAATGTTCTATTTCATTTGTTGAAAACAAAGGATGAAGTAGAACAATTCAAAATACAGAATGCATATCCCAAATTTGATGTTAAATATAATACCATTCATATTTTTTTTAATATTATTTCCAATCGCTAGGCAAAAAGTTAAAGAACTAAAATCTTATAAACAGAGTTTGCAAACAATAGAACTAAGAATTACAAAACCGGTGCCACGTTCGATGACCACTGGGCGTGATGTAGATCCACCTCCTTGCGGTGCACCCTGGAAATGCTTTGGGGCTAAGTGATTTACAATTTTGGCATGCAGCCTTTCTACTCTTCATCCCTTCATTAATCCTTTCACATGCTCAGATTTTTTTTATTAGCATATATATATATCAAAACTTAAATGCTTATTACATGGAAATATGTTAATGAAAACTTGATTTCAAATATTATAAAGTTGTGTTCAAATAAGCTCCTCCCATGAAATTCATATGAAAGTTTCAAAATAATTAATTATAAATGAAATATGCAATTTAGCCATAAGAAGACTCCACTTTGGTTTTAAAGTTCTGTAAATTTTATGATAAATCAGGTTTAACAGCAAAAAACAAAATCATATTTTGAAAAGATAAATTTAATCAAAAACAAGAATAGTCACATATAAAAAATGACACGACAATGACAGAACATAAGACAATCTTATATGTTCAGTTTACAACATAATGAGATGAAAAGTGTATGCTCACAAAACTTCTTAATCTCCAGACTCAGTACGTCTATACCAAAATCGTGCTCGAAAATCATCACTGCATGTCACAAAAGCAGGACCAGTAGGTGAATGTACAATATAACGGACATTATTATTGTGCCCTATGTATAAAAAAAAAAGGTCAAAAGTTAAGAATACAGCTATAAAGTAAAACTTTGATTACACAAAATTCTGATAAGTTACACCAAATGTTCAAATGTAGAATTTGAAACAACATTTAACTTTTCTCAATAAGCTGGATTTTCAGTTACATACAAACTTTACTTTCTCCCTCCAGTTCTATCTTAACAAAATGTAGAATCATACATTATTTAGGAAACTATGTTTCCAGTGAATCAAAAAATTTTATCTATTAAATAAAACAACATTTATTTATATGTTTTCTTTCATATTTACATATATGGAAAAAGACCATGAAAATTTAATACAATTTTATAGCTATTTAACGTTATGCAGCTATATATGCTAAACATGATATATAAGCTCTTATAAATAAAAATAACGACTACTTTGAAGATTTATTCACTCTTTTTAAAATCCAAGTTAATTATTATTAGACAGAAAATAGAAAAAAAAAAAAAAAAAAAAAAAAAAAAAAAAAAAGATAAGCAGAAATAAAATAGTATCAATAACAGTTTCATGAGGAAAATAAATATTTTGTAGACAAAAACAAAGATGAGTATATTTTTCTAATAAAAGGTATGAAATACTGAGATAAAAAAAGGCTGTAACAAAATGCATATAAATGAAAATTACCGTATTTGACGGCATATATATTTAGAAGGCCACACACATGTAGATGTAGAAAAGGTTATGTGTGTCTAGACCTTTATCCGGGCTAAAAATAGCATTCAGTATTAAAAGTTAACCTGTGTCCTTCACGTATAAGACGCAGGTAACTTTTTGAGACCAAATTTAGGAAAAAAAAATGCATCTTATATGCCGTCAAATATGGTAAGTTATTGAAGATAGTAAAGAAATGTTTTTGGTGCAATAAGAATCACATGACCTAATGAGTAGCAGATGTAAAGGTTTAGAAAATCTGTCTCGTTTTTAACAAGTTTTCCGCCAAAAAATGTTCTTAATAAAGTTGGGGGGGGGAAGAGAAGAAAGCAGTACCTTTAGTGCAAATAGTAATCACCAACCAAATTTATGAAGTTCTGCCAATGTTTTGGCAGTTTTTCAAAGCCTTCGGGCTTAAAAACTTTGTGGCATCGAGTCAAGAAACAGATCAACCTCATTTTGGACACCCTGTGCAGAATGGAAGATAACACCAGCAAGATGTAACTGCAGGTATGGAAAAACGTAAAAGTCCGAAGGAGCGATGTCAGGGCTATATGGTGGGTGTGGCAAAAGATCCCATTTGAGCCCGTATAAGGCCAGCTGATGAATGCAGACACACATGATCTTGCAATATCTTGATAGAACATTATCTTTTTGCTCCCAAACTCAGTTTTGACGTTTTCCCTTGATAGCAACATTAACAGTGATGAAATGTGGATTTACTTCAACAACACAGGCCGAAAAGGGCTTGGTCTGTGCCCGGTGAGCTCGTCAGCAATGTCGCAAAGTACAGTTTTGACTATCAAAATGATTATGCTTTGTATCTGGTGGGATTGCAATGGTATTCTCCACAAAGAGTTTGTGGAAAAAGGTAAAACCTTCGGCAGTAAGATGTGCAATGAGATGGTAGTGTGTGTTGATGCTGCTATCAAGGAAAAGTGTCGAACTGAGTTCCGGCACTAAGAGGTAATGTTCTATCAAGATAATGCAAGAGCACATGTGTCTGCATTCATCAGCTAGATTCTGTACAGACTTGAAAGGGATCTTTTCCCACACCCACCACATAACTCTGACATCGCTCCTTCGGACCTCTACCTTTTTTCACCCCCGCAGCCTACATCTTGCTGGTGCTATCTTCTCTTCTTCACAGGACGTCTGAAATGAGGTTGATCTGCTTTTGGATTTGCGGCCACCAAGTTTCTGGACTGAAGGCTTTGAAAACTATCAAAACATTGGAGAAAATCACAGATTTGGGTGGCGATTACTATCTGCATTAAGGGTGCTGCTTTCATGTTTTTTTTTTTCTAACTTTATTAAGGATGTTTTTGGTGCAAAACTTTCATTACAACCAGACAGATGTAGTCAACTGATTTTTTTCTTGCATTCAGGAAAGAAATGTCACGTGCCACAGATTTTAAGGTTGAAATTCTTTTTAATTGAATTTTAATGTTACTAAACAGTAAAGATTCAGTTTTATAAACTGAAAAAAGCACACATTTTTATTTAGAAAAGAAGCATAACATTTGTGCAATTTTGTATTTTTTTTAATTATTTTATGTATTTTGATAATGAACAATTTTAATCTTCTCACATGTAAACTGTAATTTTAAGACTTAAGTTTTTTTAATAATTATTTTCAATAAAGCTTTTCACATCCCATATATAATTTATTGCTTATTTTTACTGCAAACTTATAGATACTACTAATAAAAAATATATGCTTAGATTTCATAGCATATGTAGGTGAAATACTAAAAAAACTTTAAACCAGCCAACCTATAAAACAACACCTAAAACTATAAACCAGCTGCATTTCCAATTTGAATACACCTTTTCCATTAAGGAAAAAGTTAAGTTTGTTATTAAATGAAGATCTGTGATATAGCATAAAACTGAAAACTCGTTTGGTGAAAAATAAATTCCAATGAATTAAGAAATAAAATTCTGTTGCATTATTGGTCTAGATTTTTCAGCAAACTGAATGAAATGTTATTTAATTAATATGGCATTGCATGCCACTTTTAAAAATAAAAGAAAATTGGCAGAATTTCAGCTTTTATGATAAATGGTATTCTTATATTATTCTTTTATGATATTCTTTGATAGATACAATTTGAAGCACCTGGCACAACAGATCAATAATTGCATCACCACAATGTACTCAACACAGAAACATTACATGATATTTCTGAAGGCCCCCCGCCGCTTAAAAAAACCTAGTTACAATTTCAAGATAAATCTGGAGGCTCAAGGGAGAAAAACTTTTTTTTTTACATCAGCATGGAATAAGAACACATTTTTTTTTATTTATATGTTTTAATCAGGAATGAGTTCATTGGAAAAGAATTTTGTTTAATCTTTACTAAAAATTTAATAAAGTTCAGCTGGAAATATCATTTCTTATAACCATGATTATAAAATAAATCTTTGAAATTCTGAGAAATTATGCCACAAAATGAACACTCCCCCAACTCGATAACTATTATATTTCATAATGCCAGCGAATGACAGAATATTCCTTAAGCTTTATTTTTTGCTGAAATCTTTGTTCACTTGAAAGTGATGATGATAATGAACATTTGAAAAACCCAAATTGATCAGAAATGCTACAGACTAATAGAAGAAATAAAAGTTGATGATAAATAATTCTAGTGTTCATACTAATGGACTGCCCGGTGGCAAAAGTGCCTAGCGCATTGCGCAGCTGCACCACAGGTCTGGAGTTCAATCCCTGGGCTGGGCAAGGTTGACTCAGCCTTTCATCCCTTAAGTAGGTCGAGAAAATTAGTACCAAGTTTGCTTGAGGACTAAACACCAGGGGTCCTGCGACAGGCAGACAACTTGCCCAGGGCATATGCTGATGCCCTCCAGGCCCAAAGGTCAAGAAAGCAGAAAAAGGCACAGCAGGCCATGGCCCACTAGGGCTGTCGTGCCACTGAGTTTAGTTCATACTAATGAGATAGTAAAACAAAAGAAAGATTCATTAATTTTCCTAAGAACTGTCTAATTTCCAACTGCCCACTCATGAAATCAATAGTACACTCATGTCCATAAATTAAGGATAATGCAAAATCAGGCAAAGGAAGAGTTAGAAGCAAAACAAATTTGACTTATTTGTAAAGCTTATTTAAAAAAGGTAAAGAGCAAAAAAAGATGCTATATGCTTGATAATTATTAACAAAATTAGCAAATTTTTCTCTCTGGAGCAAATTAAAAAAAAAAAAAAAAAAAAAAAAACCCAATATTACATGGTTGGTATGATTGTTAATATATTGTATGTCTCCCAGATGATGCAATACAGTCCATACAACACCTAGGCATGCTGAGTATCAAATTATCGATCTGATCTTGCGGGATATTACACCACTCAAAAAGCAATGCTCTCCAAAGTTCCGGTAGACATGTAGGAGGAGGTTGACGGGCTGCAACTCGTTACCAAGCATGCCCCACACGTACTCTACTGGATTCAAGTCCGGTGAGAATGCTGGCCAGTCCATACGGGTGATATCCTCCGATTGAAAGCGTTCGCTTACAATGTTTGCACGGTGATAATGGGCGTTGTCATCCATAAACACAAATTGTGCGCCCTGAAACAAACGTACATGTTGTTCCAGAATGACGTTCCGATAGATTTGGCTTGTCATGGTTCCAATCTGAACATGCAGGTCAGCTCTGGAACCCAGAATAATTCCACCCGAAACGAGCACTCCTGCACCACTGTAATGGTGTCGTTCAATGATGTTTTCTTGGTGGTAATGGGTACCTGGAGCTCTCCATATGAAAGTCCGGCGAGAATAAGACTGCAAGTTAACCTGGACTCGTCGGAAAACATCACACAAGTCAACTGTTGCGGTGTCCACAATGCATGCTCTCTACTCTAGGCTAACCGCAGGCAACAGTGAGTTGCAGTAAGTGGAACACATCTGACAGGTCTACGAGCATATAGACCAATCTTCCCTAAGCGTCTGTACACGGTCTGCCTTGAAATTGTCGTACCAGTGGATGAAGAGAGCTGACGAGAAAGGTCTGAGGCTGTGCTCCACCTGTTTCTTTTGGCAGTAACTGCCAAATACCAGTCCTCATTCGGCTTTGTAACTCTGGGCCAACCTGTAGTGTAACGTCTACTCACATTACCATCATCTTGGAATCATTGCCAAAGCCTGGAGATGACACGCTGGGCAATTCCAAGTTTGTCTGATACTTCCAGTTGAGTACGCCCACATTTCAGATGGCCGATAATTGTACCACGTAAAAAATCATCCAAATGCGTCCTCTGTGTCATAACTATTCGGTTATTGCACTGAAATGCTTATAAAGCGCCTGCGAACAATTTTACTTCTTTGCCTGTATTCCTTATATATCACTCTCTTACACTCTCGTCATTGTGACTTACCATTGGTGTCATCTGGTTACTTCCTGAAATTTGCATATAATTCTTGAAAATGTGTGTAGTGACTTTACAGGTGATATATTTATTTTAGAGTTCGATTTCCGTGTGACTCCTAATTATCCTTAATTTACGGACATGAGTGTATTTTTTACTTCAAGCAGGAACATTTATTTATAGTACAGTTATTCAACTATTATATGTGAAAGGCTACATATATATATTGCTGGTCATCCAGAATGCAACAACATGAAGACAATGAAAAATCAAAGCCATATATTTACTGGATAATAACATAAGGTACATAGGTGAATTGATTAAAATAACAAACTCATTTCATCTGCAAAACAATCTGAAATCAATATTTTGTTCAGCTGCCATGGCTGGCAATAACTGCTGCAACATATCTCAGCACTGAAAGAAAAACGTGTTGAGTGAGCGTTTTTGATATGCCAAGCTGTTTCCACACATTAGCAAAGTTTATATACCATAGCCACAGGTGGTGTATGGAGTCATTCAAGTGCTTCAGTGTATCCCTTACTGAAGTCTAAGCATAAATTTTAAGTTTATTGGATGCTTCCTTCATGTGCAGTTTGAATGGCCAGCAATGTATTTTCTAAATAAAAGTTTTTAACTCAGAGTTCTGAATAAAAATTTTTTACTGAACTTTCATTAGGAATTCTTTTAAAAAGTATCTGGATTATTACCTAATGAAACACTATATAATTAAAATATAAAGATTAATTAACTATACCAAGTGATAGCAGTCGTTGACGTTCAGCATTTCTCGCATCCCAGCTACAAAGACTAGTAGTTTTTTCATCAGGGAAAAGGACTAAAAAGTAAAAAAAAAAAAAAAAGGCACTTTAGCTTATTAATGCAACAAAATAAAATATAATGACAATGAAATTGATCAATTAAAACATGAAAAGCTTTTTATATCAAATGAACAGATCTTTTTAAACATATGTAAAGATATAAAAATTCAGATTTGTAAAATAAAGAGCAATACATATCACTGTCACTTGATGCTACATGGGAGAAAAAAAAAAAAAAAAAAAAAAAAAAAAACATCTCTTTGTTTCAAATTTTAATACTTCTTAGATCAGTTCAGTCAAAAATTTTCTATTATGTGTAATTTCATTGAAATATCTAGTCAAAAATCTTACCTCCTCAATTTTAAATAAATTATAAGTTTTAACCACATAAAAGTAGGAAAAGAATGATTTAAGAGATTATTTCCTTATAAAAAGACACAATAAAAATGCTCAGTTACTGTATTAGTCTGAAGGTGATCAACTGATAACACTGAAGAAACATTTGAGGAATCCCAACATGCATCCATTGCACACCACATTGTCAGTCACCAAATTTACATATTTCCGGTGCTAACACATGCACAGAAGTGCAATTGTGTGTTGAATTGTATTTAATTTATATAAATAATTACAGCATTGGGTATTGTTTGCAATGTTAACTTGAGTGAGCACATTTTTTCTCATGATCCTTTAATTTTGATGACCAGTGTATGACTTTCTTAAATCACTGACTTTGATAAAAAATAATTTACGTTCCTTTGGGTTTGTTTCATCCTTGCCTAAAACAGAGCATGTATTGAAGTTTCATTAGTATGAGGAAGAACATTTAATAATGTTATAATTCTTTTGTTTACATAACTACTTTGGATAACTGAACTGCACAAAGCATGAATCTTTTGCTCTTGGCCTTGAGCCTGAATGACAATGCAAAGAGTTTGGAGGCAAACAGTCTTGCTTCTAAGGCTATTAGGGAGAAAATTCTATGTTTTAAATGCATTCTTTTCTCCTTGTTTAGGGTACATAATATCAAAATGAGAATTATAAAGGCCCGTCTACACGAAGCGATTTTCTCAGTCAACTTTCTCGTAGAGCTACAATTTTAAGGATCTGCGCATGCGCCAAAAATCGGTCATGTTCTCTGCTGCGATTTCAGAACAGGTGTTCACTGCTCACTAGAGTACAATAAAATTGGAGTCTCTAGCCAATAAGATTGTTTTGAGTGATCATGTGTTTTTCTCTTCATTTGGAATAATAAACATGGCTGCATTTCGTTGGAGCGAAACTGAACTAATAGATTCCTATAGAGAAAATGTGTTGTGGGACACGAGTAATGTAAATTTTAAAAATTAAAAATTAAGGGATTCTCTTATTTTGATAAGCTTTGTTTTCCCCATTACTTTTTATATTCAAATATTTTCTATTCGGGGTGAAAATTATTTTAACTTCCCCAAGAAAAGTTCCCAAAACTATTAATGATGCCATGTCTGGGTACTAGATGAAAATATTCAGAAAGTAATTGAAACTGTGGTCGCACTTATTGAAAAAATTCAAAAAGCAAAATCTCCAGTCGAGAATAATAAAGCAGCACAGAGACTCAATTGACTTCGCCGAAAATGGGAGTTAATCATGTGACGAAGTACACAAATTTCCCAACACCTCCTACACAAGCAATCATAGCCTAGTGGTAAAGAGCAGACTATATTTTCTCCGTACATCGAGATAGTGGGTTCGATCCCCGATGTTAATTTTGGACTTTCTGCGCCTGGAAGAACTTTTTAATTTAGTTTCTCCATCACTAAATTCGAACTGCATGACTTAAAAGTCACGTTTTATTTTTTCGCCTACCGGGAGGGTGTGTGTGTGTTTATTGAATTTTAACACCTTTCTTTTCATTTTTCGAATGGCCGTTGGCACGTGTTTTAGATCTACTGGTAAAAAAAAAAAAGTCACAAGTCACAAACTCAGTTTTCTGTTAATTGAGTTTTGCAAGAGCAAATTACAGCCCAATTTAATACAATATTGCTGAATTTTATTTGTTGATTAACTGATAGAGTCATAGTTTTCAGACTGTATTAGTTATTTAATTATGCTGATATTAGTTTTTTAATGTTTAATAAATATACTACTTAAGACTTTGCACCTTTATGATATTTCTTATTTAAAATTTTTGCACTGAAATTACACTGTTGCTTTATAATGTAGTAATCTTTATTCTTTATTACTACTTTTTACTCATTGGTTTGATATTCATGACATTTATTCATTATGCTATTTATTCATTAGTAGAGGTTTTGATTTAAAGCACAGCAGTTACTTATGTTTTTTGAAACATGTATATTTTATTATTTCAAGATTTAAATGCACAAATAGGAGTGCCAGAAAGTTAAATTTAAAAATAAATAAATAAATAAATAAATAAAATAAAAAAAAGGAGTAATCTGCGTATTCAGTACACAAAGGAAAAGCATATTTTTTTTCAAATCTTCCTGCAAACTAAATTTAGCAAAAATCGAAATCACATGACATCATCGTAAATACTTTCTGAATTGTACCATGTCTTCAATACGCAACTCCCGGAGCAAGTATTACGAAGGCACTATGAATTTCTCGTCGTTTGACCCAATTTCTGGTCCAAACGTATTTTTCCCCCCTCCCTTCTGTAGAAGTAGTTAAGTTAAAAATTGTAGCTGTATCTATAGCAGCAATTTAAAATAGTCATCCATTATTTTGAATATTTGACAACACCGTAAGCTTTGTTTACAAATTGTAGACATGTGATGCTGTAGAGGGCGGGAACACTTCCTTTCATAGTGATTGGCTGAGTGAATTCCTGTACTAATGAGAAAATAGTTCCATGTGGACAGGCGAGCTATCTCAGATAGCGTTGGCTGCTAAGTCGGCCGAGAAAATCGCTACGTGTAGATGGGCCTTTACACTGAGAACAGTTCATTTAATTTTCAATGTTGCCAAACCTGTTTAAATGACTTGCTTTTTTAAGACATGAGAAACATGCATCTCTTTTTAATAATAACTATTTTTTATCACTTAAAATAATTTTTCTTGCACTAAAACATTCTTTGCTGGGGTGAAACTTATCACAAAAAATACAATTTAGTTCGTTATCAAAGCTTTTCATTTTTCTTGCATTAAAGCATCATTTGCTGGGGTGGAACTTATCACAAAAAATATAATTAAGTTGTTTATCTGTATTTTTATCAAGGCTTATAATTTTTCTTGCATTAAAACATCCTTCACTGGGGTGGAACTTATTGCATAAAATACAATTTAGCTGCTTATCTGTATTGTTACCAAAGCTTACCAATGAAGGCCATCCCAAGATGTTTCCTTTGCTTTTTTTGGAACAGAGCCCTTTTTAAAATTAAGGTGAAAGCCACACCCAGTTCTTGTTAATAACACTATTTTTTCGCCTTAATCTTCTTGGTGAAGAAAATTCATCAGTTGTTCTAAAGTATTGAGACTTGCAACTGTAATTTCTTCTTCTTTTTCATGTAAGCAAAACTTCTTCCAGAAGGCAGCTTTCCACTAATGGAATTAGAAAAATCCCTAAACATTTCCTGCATTCTTTCTAAGCTCTCTTAAAGAATTTTAGTTTCCGGTTCATCATACACCAAATAGGCCTTGGTTTGCCCATTTGGCCTTGGTCGCCATGTTTTTCATAACCACACTTAATAAATCACAAACATAAATCTGGGCAAGCAAATCATCTTTTCCAAATAATTCTTTTACTGGTTTCATGGCCTTTCAGCAATTCTCTGTTGTTGCCGGAAAATTCTCAATGAGATGCTCAGCTTTCGATTTTGGCTCCACAGACTGCACTAGATATTGCATGAATCTTTTGAAATAGGCCCCAGAAGGATAAGTAATCCCATGGGTCATCCCACAATTTCTTCAGCTCAATTTTAGGTTATTTAAATTTTCTTTTTTCATTTCTTTCTGCGGAAGCTTCTTGCAATCACTTTTCCAGTTTAGTGCACATTTCTACAAGCTTATCTCTGTATATTTCAGCTTCTTCAAAATCATCAGTGTACAGTTTCCTACTATCTTCAGTCTTAAATAAATTTTCAACCTTCAAGTGACTGGATCTTATTAATAGGATGCAGCTTTAAAATGGGAACATCATTTATATCTGTAACTTCTTTAACCAACTCATTTCAATTTTCTTCAGACCGACATTAAAATGACATTTCTCAGTCCTTTCTGTTGAGCCTTTAATGCAGTAAAATCCATCTTCAGCAAATAATTCAAATTCCAAGAAGTCCTAAAAGTTTCTTGAAGTTCTAAAATGAAAAACAGCCATCCCGCTGAGGGAACCATGGTCTTATTTTGGAAATGAAAAGCTGAAATTTAATTCATGCATGTGAATGCAGGATGTTTTGAATAGTCCAGGAAGACGAAAGTCATTTCGAAACACATGAAAACACTTTATTTGAAGAGCTTTAATTCATTTCAGTTTGCACGCACACACATATATATATACGCAATTATATATATATTTACATAAATGAAATTATTTTAGCATATGTTTTAACTCAACTGATTTTGAGGTGGATCACACGTGGTCATCAGGTCATGCCATGCTGATTTTGCCCCACATCTTGTTTTGGCTCCTACTTTCATTATGTAAATATATGATTTGGCTACATTTAGGGTTACATACTAGGCAGCAAGCTTCACTTATCATTAGAACTAACTTATACTTGCTGATAGAAACTATAGTAGAATTGTATTTGGAAGGTAACTAACTTACCATAATCTTCTGTATGGTTGAAAACCGCTTGGCTACGATGTATTTGCTTTCCTGTTGCACCAGCACCAGTATAAGCTATAAGACATCTTGCCATAGACAGCTCCCATAATTTTACTAATGAGTCTTTTCCACTACTTAAAAGATACTAAAAAATAATAGTAAAAAATTAGAAAATACAGACATATCCATTAAAACATTTTTTGGCTAACCATATTTAGCACACACAAAAAAAATTATAACAGAAATTTAACAACTGTTTTTAAAGAGTTCTTAAAATTCTTAAAAGTCTACCAGCAAAAGTATTTAAACATATTTTTTCAATAACAGTTTTTAAATCCCTTAATATTACATTCTAGTTACTATATAAATGAATAATACTATTCAACACATGGACCAGTAAATGCAAGGTTCACACACAGTTCTGCATGGGAAAATTAAGTACTTTTGAGGACCATCAATGAGTCAATTAAGGACCTATCTAGTGTATGGTGTGTGTGTGTATTTAGTTATGGCAAAGCACACAGGGCTATCTGCCTAAGGGGAGGGATGCCTTTCGTGGAGGACTTTCTAAGGGAAACTGGCTCGTATACACGTTACACATGGGGAAAACCACGAAAACGCCCATGCAGCCAGCCCGTTCGCGGGATTCGAACCTCGGACCGAACTACCAGTGTTCAGCGACTTTACCGCTCGGCCGCTGGTGGGCTGGTAGCAAATAGAAACTGAATAAACTAAAGCAAATATTTACACCCGGAGTTTACTTTTGTAATTTGTAAGAATAAAATAAATCTGTAAGTAGGATGCATTATTATTAAATTTAATCTAATACAAAAACTAAACTCATTTGCATAACAGCCCTAAGGGGCGAAGGCCTGCAGTGCCCGAAATCTGCTTTCTTGACCGTGGGCCCCGGGGTGAGTAAAAGCATATGCCCCGAACAAGTAGTCAGCTTGTCGCAGAACCCCCAGTGTTTAGTCCCCAAGCGAATTTGGTACCCATTTTATCGACCCAAGTGATGGAAATCACTTGGGATGAAAGGCTGAGTCGACCTTGCTCAACCCGGAAATCGAAGCCTGGACCTGTAGTGCTGCTGCGCGATGCGCTAGCCACTGCGCCACCAAGTCTTAATCTAATATTTAATTTAATTATAAAAACAAATTTAAGAACAAAATTAACTTATTTATTATAATTTTTTCAAATAATTAACATTAAATTATAAAATTTCTTGTAACGTTTATATTTTACACTTAAAATAGTCTCACATATTTTAAAGAAGATTAGTGGCTTATCATCTAAATTTTACTAGCAGCTTTGTATTGATTCTTTCTTTTATGCCTCATTTCATCACATAGTGGCTCAGTACAAAGGTATATGCAAATCTCATGTAAAGTGGCATAAATTAAATTATGAAGTAAAATAATAATCAGCATGACTCATAACAGAAGCTTGGCTGTTGCTACTGCAGTCATACCACCTGATGCTAGTATGGCTGCAAGTGTCGAAAGTTAGTGGCATTTTGTCTTAAGTATATTAGCATCGCAGCTTTGTGTAGATTTGTTGGATTTATATCTCAATGAATATATAATATTAACATAAAGTTCCAATAGGTCCCCAATACATCGGATATGATAGGTTGTTTTGTATTAATTTAAGTCTCAATAGCCATAAGGAATAAAGTTTTATGTTAATTTTGACATTTCTGTGTTATATCTTGCATTTACAATAAAGATTAAGGAAACTCACATTAACATAAAAAGATAACATCTATGGGTCAGCATTTAGTGACAAATAATTAAATTGCATAGTTCAATACCCTTACTCAATATAGATTTACATGGTTACAATACCATTTTTTTTTATTTCTAAAAACTATCTATTAAAAAAAAGCACTAAGAACATTTTACAGCAGTTTTAATTTATGATATTGATTCTAAAATGATATTAGCATAACTACACATTAAAATCTACAAAATAATTATGTTTTGTTATTTGTTCTTGCTACAAATAGCAACAAAAAATAATAAAACATTTATGTGTCATTTTCAGACATTTTAGTTACATCAGTTTACCATCTCTTTAGCATCTTTTCTAAGTTTATTTGTTTCAGTAAACAAATCAATGTTCTCACTAATCTCTGCTTCATTATCTAATCAATCAATGTTTCGACAATGTACCTTTGAAAAATAATTTCCTCTTTCTTTATAAAATCAATTTCTTTTTTCACTGAAATTCCTCTTTATTTCAGAATTAATTAAATATTTCTGTTATTCTAAAGAACTGTTTGTACTTAGAATGCATATAAGAAACTACTAATTTTATTTCTTTAATAATTACGAGTATTGCAAATAAATATTAAATGATATAAGGTCAAGGAAAGCTTATATGATTTTAAGTCAACTTTAGAAATAATTTTAAAGTCTCCTGGGATCAAAAGGAGAAAATTCCAGACATTTTGTACTCACTGTTCTTCTAAAATTTCTCCAAAAGATGAGAAATTCATCATAAATTTCCTCTAAAATACATCTATCATGTGTTAATACCACTAAGACACATTTTTCTGGACATTGTAGGTCAAGATTTATATCTTGCCTTCAGCCAGCAGGCACTGAGATATCTATGGTGCATTGAGACATATAAGATGAACCAATTCTTTATTTTCCTTGCTTGTTTCAGTGTTTATTTCTAGTTGAAAGATAAGAAAATAAAGGAAAGATAAACATATTAAATGAAAGTCTTCTGGGATCAAAAGGAGAAAATTCCAGACATTTTGTGTTCACTGTGTAGGGATTTATATTTAAACTAACAATTTAAAGTTTAAGTTCAAACTTTCCTATAAGCCTTCATTCCCCTAATTGTCAGTGCCAGAATAGTTAAATGTTGTAGCGCACGTGAAGGAATGCAAATTTCTACTTTGTATAAAGTATTTAAAAGTCGAGTTTCGGTAGGAGAAAGAGAGAGTTAGTATTTAGCCACAACCTTTGCTGTAGGTACGTTTGCTTATTGCTGGTTCACGTGGCTTATTTGCATTTACTTGCTGCCACTAGTTTCAAAGGGGGTTTAAGTTACAGGATCTCGCTGAGCCCTGTAGTCAGGTTCTATCATTTGTTAATATCTTCAAATTTTTAGCTTAGTTACTTGATTTTCTGTTACTACCCAAGCAGAGACCAAATTTTCTGAAATTTGTTAGCGTCAAATTGACACATTGTAAATTTTCAAATATTTAATAAAAAGTACTTTAACCCCTCTCTTGTGTAGTTTCCTGCTACTCCAGTTTCACACAGAAGTTCATCAAGTGGACTCTACAACTGTTCTTCTAAAATTTTTCCAAAAGATGAGAAAGTCATCATAAATTTCCGCTAAAATACATCTATTATGTGTTAATACCATTAAAACACATTTTCTGGATACTGTAGGTCAAGATTTATATCTTGCCTTCAAAATAATAATTTATTAATCTTGCTTTTATGCCTTGTGAGGTGCAAATCAAAAATTCTGAATAAAAAATTATCCCTACCAAATTTGTAAGAGCAAGAAGTCAGAAGATTTTTTTGAGGGGGGGGGAGAGAAAAGAAAAAATATACAGAAAAAGAGAAGTGTAAACTGAATTAAGAGAAAACTGACACACATTTAAATATTCTGAAAAATTACATGGGAAAAATTCTTAGACAAATATAATTATATTTTAGATAAGTAGCAATTTTGTTTTCTCTAAGAAGTGTTTTTGGAAACTCGGCTTTATTATTAAATTATATTATTTTTCAGAATCAAAATATTCATAAGTCACCAAAACGGAAAGTAATGTCACTTTAAAATAAAAAGAAAATAAAAATATTTTACTTTAATATTATTTCATAAATAAAATTTTAATATATTATCATTATTATGATATTTTATAAATAAAATTTTAATATATTATCATTATTATGATATTTTATTTATAAATAGAATAATTGTCAAAATTTTGTACACAAACTGATCTTGAAATTGCCAAAATGTTGCCAAATTTAGCACTGCATAATTTCAAAAGAATTCAAACGTTAACCCTTCAAACACATATTCGTCAATGCATCGTAAAAAATATTCATCCAAAATGCTAATTCACACTCAAACTGATACAAAAAAAAAAAAAAAAAAAAAAAAAAAAAAAATTACAGAAAAGTCAGATGAGTAAAAGGATCTTTAAGGATCAAAAATCATTTTAAAACATTCTAAGGAATTTTAAGGACTGTACGAACCATGTAAACATTCTATTCAGATCCCTCTTTTTTTTTTATATATTTAATTATCACAGTAGATTCAAATTCTGATATAACATCATAGACAAATGACTGTAACTATAAATTGAAAATGCAATACCTGCTGTAATTAACATGATAAATATTTAAAGGTTTCCAAGGAAAAGTATATATCGTGTTACATAATACATATAATGACACTTTATAATAAATTTTAAAATAATTATTTTAAGAAAACCTGAGCTACCCAGATGATGGAATAATACAGCTAAAGATCACCTTCATTTTATATTATTTAACTCTGTATTAAAATAAAGCAAATATTTGCATGATAAAATAATTCTTCTTGACAAAAAAAAAGGGGGTGGGGGAGGGTTACTCTCTGATTTTATATACAATAATTAATTTAAATTTATATAAATGTATTTTACAGATTATATTAATAAAGAAGCAAAAGAGGTTCGAATCCCACGAACTGGCTGGCTGCATGGATGTTTTCATGGTTTTTCCCTGTGTAACATGTATATGAGCCAGTTTCCCTTAGAAAGTCCTCGACGAAGGCATCCCTCCCCTTAGGCAGATAGCCCTCGAGGCTTTGCCGTAATTAAATAACCTAACCAAAGAAGCAAAAATTAAAGGCATAATTCGACTTTGAAAATTAAAATCTAGCACTATGGCTGCTAAGACTAAAAATGTAAATTTAATTATGAATTTTCTATTTATGATTAACTCCTAGGATAGGAAATGTAAATCTTCAAACTGAAACTAGGATATCTTAATACTTAAGAGGACTGCGTTAAAACAATTAAAAATTTGTAAGAAACTTAAATTAAAAATTTGTAATAAATCATTACATTTAAAAAAGAAAATATACATATGATCATATTTTATCTCCTTCATATGTTTGAAT